CTTCTGGGGAGTATATTAATATTTATCAGTTGTGTATTCTTGCACAATGAAATGTCTTCAGGAACTGAATTTTATAAGGTACTTGTCCTAGGACATGTGAAATTTAATTAATTTCCCTCATGCTGATTAACTTATACTGTATAATCTTTATAATATTATTGTTTTTCAGAATGTCAGGTGCAGTTATATGGAGAATTTCAAGTTGCAAATGTTAACAGCTATAGTTAAGAAGATTGCTGACTGCGAAACTTAGAGTGCCAAAATAGGCAATAAAGATGAATGCACAGTGCATATATAAAGCAAATTTATGTAAGTTCATTATAATGAAGTTTTTTATATTTTGTATTTAAAATTCTTCTATCTATTGAAATGCACACTATTATTATTCATTATTATTATTATTATTTTTATTTTCATATTATTATTATTATTTTTATTTTCATATTATTATTATTATTTTTATTTTCATATTATTATTATTTTTATTATTATTTTTAATTATTTTAATAATAAACCTTTATGCTTCATAAAGCTATTTTATGCTACCAGCTATATCAATGCTATTTCAATATGCTTCATAAAGCTATTTTATGCTACCAGCTATATCAATGCTATTTCAATGCTTTCTAAAGCTATTAAATGATTTGGACCAATATTGTGGCTATGTGTAGGTCCTCTTGTTGGCCTAGCTAAACTGCAGCCTTGCACCATGTTAAGCTATAATAATGGTAATTAGGCCTCTCACTTAATATTATTATATAAGTGCATGTTTTAATGAAATAAAATCGGTTTCTTGAGGAGGTAAACTGAGGTGGGGGTAGGAAGGGTGAAGCAATTATTATTTGCCGAAAGTTAATGTATGTAATCCCTAATTAATTAATATAAATTTGACTATATTTCAGGATCCTCAGTCTGGTTTCAATTACAAAGTGAAAACTCAATCAAATGTGGTGGTGTAAAGAAGTATTTTGTTTGTTTGAAGCCTTACTGTGTCTGGTGGCAGTTGATTGCAGAAACAGAAATTTTCCTGACGTTCAAAGGTGAATATAATGTTTTGTTTACGTCTTAAGTTTACTGGCCTGGGCGCTATTTAATATCATGCTCCAAAAAAAAGAGATGTTACTAAACTACTTAAAAACCACTTTTGGGACCAGGGTTTTCATGGTATTTAGCAGCTTGGTCCCTAATTAGAATAATAATAGAATAATAAAAATAAAAGACATTTGTTAACTTGGAACCATAGAAAAGTAGTCTTTAATTGGAGGTGTTCTAGAGGGAGACCTGTAAGAAAATGTTATGTGTATGTAATTAGGCCAAATAGAACAAGAGAGCCAACTACACTCATTGACAGAGAAACAAACAATATGCCCTAGTACGTAGCCAGTGTAGGACACCCGCTGTCATCTGTATGCACCCACGCCCTGCACCACGCACGGTCTATTTTTCTATTTACCAAGTACTGTAAATAGTGGGCATACGTCAGTAGGTACACAAATGATTGCGGA